TGATCAGCGAACATTTCCTTCCGCTCCCGTTTGCAATAAATCTCTCCGGTACAATGTTCGTATGTCATCGACAAAGGGCGAATAAACCATAACGTCGAGATCCCACAGCTAAGCCATGTATCAATCCACATATCCATCCGGGGACAGGTCGAATAAAGCACGTCGTCCGTTCAACTTGTCAAAGTAACATTTCGCTCGACACAGTGTCAAATTAGATTTCATCGATTGGCAAACGAAAAATGAGACAAAAAAAAAGCGAAGAGAAACGTCATGAATATCAAAAGGACGATCGACAGGCAGGAAAGCTGATTGAATCGTCGGATGAATGACGGGCGTGGGCACGTGAAAGTGAGCCCGGGACGCCCCGTGGGATGTTGCCCTCTTCACTGAGGTGTGGTCCCCTGCGCGTGGGATATGCAACCGGCTGCATGGTAATGACCTGGTTGACAATGACCAGACTAACCGTCAAATTACATGAATCATTCATTTATCGAGCAACCATCGTTTCCTCTCGATCCATTTTCCCATTCGTCGTTGCTGTTTTACGGATACTGGGATTAACCCCTCCTTGTAGCTTCGTGTCTTGATGCAACTTCAAGGCCCTATAGGTATTCAAGGCTATGATATTGGAAATTCTAAATTCCCCAGATTCCAAATTCTTCAAATTCCAAATTCCACAGATTCAAAATTTTCCAAATCGCAAATTCCCCAGATTCCAAATTTCCCAAATCCAAAAATCCCTAGATTCCAAATTCCCCTAATCCCAAATTCCCCAAATTCCAAATTCCCAAATTCCCCAAATTCCAAATTCCCCAAATTCCAAATTCCCCAAATTCCAAATTCCCCAAATTCCAAATTCCCCAAATTCCAAATTCCCCAAATTCCAAATTCCCCAAATTCCAAATTCCCCAAATCCCAAATTCCTTAGATTCAAAATTCTCCTAATCCTAAATTTCCCAAATCCCAAATCTGAAATTCCAAATTCCTCAAATTCCCTAAATTTTCCAAATCGCAAATTCCCTAGATTCCAAATTTCCCAAATCCCAATATCCCTAGATTCCAAATTCCCCTAATCCCAAATTCCCCAAATTCCAAATTCACCAAATACCCAATTCCCCAAATTCCAAATTCCTCAAATTCCAAATTCCCCAAATTCCAAATTCCCCAAATCCCAAATTCCTTAGATTCAAAATTCTCCTAATCCTAAATTCCCCAAATCCCAAATCTGAAATTCCAAATTCCTCAAATTCCCTAAATTTCCCAAATCGCAAATTCCCTAGATTCCAAATTCCCCAAATCCCATATTCCTTAGATTCCAAATTCTCCTAATCTTAAATTCCCCAAATCCCAAATTTGAAATTCCAAATTCCTCAAATCCCCTAAATTTCCCAAATCGCAAATTCCCTAGATTCCAAATTCCCCAAATCCCATATTCCTTAGATTCCAAATTCTCCTAATCTTAAATTCCCCAAATCCCAAATTTGAAATTCCAAATTCCTCAAATCCCCTAAATTTCCCAAATCGCAAATTCCCTAGATTCCAAATTCCCCAAATCCCATATTCCTTAGATTCCAAATTCTCCTAATCTTAAATTCCCCAAATCCCAAATTTGAAATTCCAAATTCCTCAAATCCCCTAAATTTCCCAAATCGCAAATTCCCTAGATTCCAAATTCCCCAAATCCCATATTCCTTAGATTCCAAATTCTCCTAATCTTAAATTCCCCAAATCCCAAATTTGAAATTCCAAATTCCTCAAATCCCCTAAATTTCCCAAATCGCAAATTCCCTAGATTCCAAATTTCCCAAATCCCATATTCCTTGGATTCCAAATTCTCCTAATCCTAAATTCCTCAAATCCCAAATCCGAAATTCCAAATGCCTCAAATTCCCTAAATTTCCCAAATCCCAAATTCCCTAGATTACAAATTCCCCAAATTCGTTGCCACTTTACAGATATTGGGATTAACCCCTCTTTGCAGCTTCGTATCTTGCTGCATCTTCAAGACTTGTTGGGTATTAAAGGCTACGATATTGGAAACTTGGATTTCGTTCAAATTTGGTAGAATTATTAGTAACTGTTAGGTGCAGTGGTTATCGTTCATGTAGGTGGTGATAATTTGGCAAAATGGGGGTTGCAGTATTTTGTATTAGGGAAGATATCTGTGTCTAGGGTTTTAGGTTAGCTTTATGATGTTATATGTTAGCTGTAGTAAGATGTTAGCTGTAGTAGGTGCAAATGATGTATGTCGTGAATGTAAATTATAGGATTTATGACATATGATACCTAAGTCATAAATATTAAATCTATTATAATAAAATATTTTCTATAAAATGAAATTTTATAAAGTGAAGTATCGTGTATAAAATAAAATTCTACATATCTATGAAATACATATCTTGTATATACTAAAATTCTTTGTAGCAAAATATCTATGAAATATCTTTTCTGCACTAAAATTCTATGAAGTAAAATATCCATGAACTTCCATAAAATTCTTTAAAGTAAAATATACAAAATAAAATTCTATAAATAAAAATGTAAATTCCACAAATAATGACAGAATTTGAAAAATGTTCAGAATGTAAAGATAGTAAGATTGGTACCAGTAAGTTTATAATTTTAGGATTTTGCATGCTGGTTAAGTGATAGATCAGAGGTAGTTTAGTATCTTAAAATAGAACGATACGTGGGATGTGTCGCACTAATTGTAGGCTGTTTCGTGCACCACCCGGTACAATTTTCCCACTCGAGAACCGTGAAGTCGTAATTTATGCACGCTGGTCTGGTTTCGCAAGCGGCGCCTAACAGAGTCAGGAAGGTAATCTGTTTCGTTGCGAAGCCTACTTTACGGGCTTACAATTGATAATCATCTTACTGCATGTATGGCAAGATTTAGAGATCATTCTATTTTATATATGTATTAAAAAGAAGGCAAATTACGTTTGTTTCTTCTTTTTTCAAATTTTTGTTATGATTTGTTATATGGTTGTGGGTCTAGGGTACATTTTACATGAGGACATTTATACGTTGCTATATTAATATTATTAATTTTTTATTTATTACTTTAATAATATTTTGCATTTTTAATTTGTCACTTCATTAATATTTTTCATTTTTAATTTTTCACTCTATTAATATTTTTCAGTTTTATTTTATTTTTCATTTTTCCTTTGTTATATTCATTTTTGTACCAGCACAACACACACTCATAGTATATTTTATAACAAAATATTAAAATAAACATTGCACGAAAAATGTTCAATTTTCCCAAATTTACAAAAATTTGAATGAAAAATAAAATTCATCTTATTTAACTATATTACAAAAATGATTAAGTTAGGTTAGGTTACAATTAATAATCATCTTACTGCATGTACAGCAAGATTTAGAGAACATTTTATTTTATACATGTATTAAAAAAGAGGCAAATTACAATTGAATTTTTTTTTTCAAATTTTAGTTATGACTTGTTATATAAACATTTTCTTTTACACGAATTTATATGTTACTATATTAATATTCTTCATTTTTAATTTATTACTTCAGTAATATTTTTCATTTTTAATTTATTACTTCAATAATATTTTTCATTTTTAATTTATCACTTCAATAATATTTTTCATTTTTAATTTGTCACTCCATTAATATTTTTCAGTTTTATTTTAATTTTCATTTTTCCTTTATTATATTCATTTTTGTATCGGCAACACAAACTCACAGTATACTTCATAACAAAATATTAAAACAAACATTGTACAAAAAATGTTCAATTTTCAAGTTTACAAATATTTGAATGAAAAATAAAATTCATCTAGATTACATTACAAAAATGTCTGAAACGAAACATTAAATTGTACTGAGTATGTCCCGTGTATTTACCAGGTATTTATTTACGTGGCATAGGTCCGACATCCGTTTGAAGGAGAAAGAAAAATGGCGGAAAAAAAATGAACAAAGGTCGACAGCCCGCGTGGGTGTATCACTTTGTTCGAGCATGGTTTCGGCGCAGGAAAAAGAGAATAACGTATAAAAAACGAGAAAAAAGAGGATAAGGTACCGAGAGCGAGCAGGATTAAAAGAGCTGAGGATCCACGAAACAGAGGTGGTTATGTTCGTAGGATGATCGATCTTGTAAGGCCAGCGGGATCTGTCGCGAGTATTAAATATTATGCAAATGCGGCTTGGGTTGCGTTTCTAGTTAGTTCCCAAAGGTCGTGAAGGTAGCATAACCGCTTTCGATCATCAGTCATCCTCGTAGCCCAAGTCGGTCGTACTAATTCAATTATCGCGGGAAAAAATCAGCCGTTTACAAATTGTGACTCTTTTTCATCGGATTTAAGCATTGGGCCGCAAAAGGATGAAGCTAATATCGATCATCATTTTTATTTTATTATAATACTATCTTTGTATCATTAAGACTAATAAGTAACTAAATGGAATTCTGTTCTTAAGTTTTTGAAAAAATGCAAGTCAGTGTTTGAATAATTTGAAGATTATGTGGCAAACTACTTTTTCAAATTGAAAAGTGAGGTGAAGATAACAAAATTATAGATGAAATTCCTTCACCAAAAGGCTACATTATTACATGAAATAAACAAAAAAGTCATCAAATATCTGTAACGTTAAATGTCAGCCATATTCAAGGTGGCTGACCGAAACCTAACCTAACATAGTCGATAGGAAGTTTTTGAAAAAATACAAGTCAGTGTTTGTCACATAATCTTCAAATTATACAAACTATTTTTCAAATTAAAAAGTGAGGTGAAGATAAAAAAATTATAGATGAAATTCCTTCACCAAAAGGCTACATTATTACATGAAATAAACAAAAAAGTCATAAAATATTTGTAACGTTAGACGTTAGTCATATTCAAGATGGCTGATCGAAACTTAACCTAACATAATCGAAAAGAAAGAAACAAGAATGAAAAAGAATTTGAATAAAAGAAGATAAAAATAATTTGAATGCAAAAAAATAAAAATTAGGAAGAGCTTACCATGCTCATCAGCACCAAAATGTAGTTGACGAGATAGTCGCCATGGTACTTTGCCATCGCGGCGTCGGCCGCCACCATGATCTCGATGAAATATTCACGTGGCAGAGCTCTACGTGCTCTCCAAGTCACGAACGGATCCGATTCCATTTCCGAGTCTTGATTATACTCCTCACTTGCTTCGTTTCGTCTCCTTTCCACCGAGTAGTATCTGTAACATTTCAGACACACGTTTCTTAGTTAGATTTGATCCTTTGCGCTCGATATACAATACCCTTTCACTCAGATCTTTTTACAATTACTCATGTATATTTGCACGTATCCTGTGTGGGATTGTGCGAACTTTGAGACTTTGGGAATTTAGGTTTATTGGGACTGATGGGTCTTTTGGGACTTTTGGGATTTTAGAATGTTGGAAGGTTGGGAGTTTGGGACTTAGGAATGTTGGAAATTTGAGATATGGGACTTTTTCGATTTTGGAATGTTGGAAATTTGAGATATTCGGGCCTTGGAATGTTGGAATTTTAAGATTTTGGGCATTAGTAATGTTGGAATTTCGAGATATTGGGACTTTTGGGACTTTGAGACTTTAAAAGGTTGGGACTTTTGGGACTTTGGAATGTTGGAACATCGGAACTTTGAGACTTTGGGATGTTGGAACATTGGAACTTTGAGACTTTGGGACTTTAGAATGTTGGGACTTCGAGATATTGGGACTTATAAGACTTTGGAATGTTGAAACATTAGAACTTTGAGACTTTGGGACTTTAGAAGGTTGGAACTTCAGGATATAGGGATTTTTGGTACTTTAGAATGTTGGAAGATTGGAAGTGTGAGATTTTTGATCTTTGGAATGTTGGAAGTTTGAGGTATTCAGACTTTGGAATGTTGCAAGTTTGAGACTTTGGGCCTTAGGAATGTTGGAACTTTGAGATACTGGAACTTCTGAGACTTTGGAATGTTGGAAGTTTGGAAATATGAGACTTTGGATATTTGGAATGTTGCAAGTTGAAGATATTGGAACTTTGGAATGTTGCAAGTTTGAGAGATTGGAACTTTGGAATGTTGCAAATTTAAGATTTTGGGCCTTAGGAATGTTGGAACTTTGAGATACTTGAACTTCTGAGACTTTGGAATGTTGGAAGTTTGGAAATATGAGACTTTGGATATTTGGAATGTTGCAAGTTTGAGATATTGGAACATGAAATGTTGGAAGTCTCAGATTTTGGGCCTTAGGAATGTTGGAAGCTTGATGTACTGGGACTCTTAGGATTTTGGAATGTTGAAACAATAAAAACAATTTTACCCTAAGGATTTCTGAATATTGTAACAATGGAACTACATAATTTTCTGAATAATGGAATATAATTCCAAACTTGAAGACTTAAGACTTTAAATATTGAAATATTAAAAATGAACCTTGATACCGCATAATTCTTAACAATTATTTCCACCCCCAATAATTCTTAATCTTCCCTAACTTTAAAAGCTTCAATACATCATCTAAAATGAATATTACTTATCATGAAGCAAATGTATAATATCTCAAAACAGGATTATTACTAAAATGAATAGCCATCAAAATAAATGAGAAGTACATACAAGATACTTCTTTCACCTTTCATCATCCACCACCCGAAATTATTTCTTTTAGTACATAAATCACCGAAATAACCGTAATCGAGGTTAAAACTGTTCCCGCAAAATATACTGATTAATGTTCATTTCGTTTTTTGCAGTTACGAAATAAATTTCGCGTTGTCGAAACGTATGATTCCGAACGGTTGTTGGATGCAACATTCACAACATTGTTCGATCGGACCATTATTTCTCGAGAAAGTCGAGAAAGTCAGTCGGAAGATGCAATTTTTCAATAATACAACTGATGAACGTACGAACGATCCGCCAAAAGTCAGTATATGAGAACGCGTGATATATGATTTCTTCTCGTGACGCAAACAGGCAAGGATTAATGCGATAATCAGTCTCTGACTTGGTTGAAGGTGATCATTTAGTAACTGTTTCTTGACGATAACTTTCTGTCACATCAGATACCTCATTGAAACATACTGTTAATTGACTGTTTGTTAGTCCTGATAATTTATAATACAGCTATTAGTTTCTGGAGCAAGTACTTCATACCACTTTTTTAAAATTTATTTGTTCGAAAAAATTGACATATGTGCTTTAAAAATTTATATATGTACGTTTATGAAAAATGACGTATGTATTTATAAAATTGATGTATATACATTTATAAAAATTAATATATGTATATTTATGAGAAATGATGTATGTGTATTTATAAAATTGATGTGTATGTATTTATAAAAATTGATATATGTATGTTTATGATAAATGATGTATGTGTATTTGTAAAATTGATGTACATGTATTTATTAAAATTGATATATGTATATTTATGAAAAATGATGCACGTGTACTTATAAAATTGATATATGTATATTTGTAAAAAATGATGTATGTATATTTAACAAATTAATACATGTATATTTATATATACATATATTCCTAAACACTGATAATTTCATTTTTGATAAGTTCATTTATAAAACTTGGTACATTTATGATAATAACCAAATATTCCACAAAATCCTAAAAATATAGAATTCTAACATTAACTTCACTAATGGTATAAAATAATAGAATGGTAAACGTAATTTGTTTACAAAAATTAACACGAGATCAATAATCAATAAATCTACAATTTTTCATATACACTTCATATTCCATTGAAACTGCATCTCACATCAAGATTACACAATCTCGTTAAAAATAAAAGTTGTGAATAAAAATCTTCTAATAAATAACAAAAAGAAAAGTTTAAAAGAACGTACCTATCGTTTCGCAAAAAGTGTTCATAATCTTCCTGATGTTCCATAAATTGTTCATACGATTCGTCGTCTGCTAAATGATCCAGTGCCGTTTTCTCTGTCAAAGATCTGCGCCTGCGCGTTTGGACGCCGTCATAAATTTGACTTCCGTTCGTGTCATCCAAAATGGACGTTGGTGTATCGTCATCTGCAAAACAAAAACATTTAATTAATTGACTAGAAAAACGTGACATATTTTCTTAAATATTCTAAGATCTTTTTAGAAGATATTTTCTTTTTAAAAAAGATATCAATATTCTGTTATTTAACCTCTTAACTGTGCTTCATGAATTAACTCCTCACTGATCAGTTTTTAATATACAATAGCATAGTTATGAAATCATATTAGTTTCAATTTTTAATGGGTAATTAAGTATTTAGTGTATTATAAATATTTAAGTATTTAGTATATTGAAAATATATTCAGTAAATTTTTGATTTAAATAATTATATTTGGTTTTATTTTTGATAATAAGATATTTGTATTCATTGTGAACAGAAACTGTTTACTCTTGTTAATTTATTTTTTATTATAAATACAGAAAAGAAATGAGTTGTGTTTTTATTAAAAAGTCTTCTGGTTCAGATAAATAAAAAATGGAAAAGAGTTCACTGAAACACTGAGTGCTTTTATATTTCGTTGCAATTTTATCTCTTAAATTGCAAAACCAATTACAATTTACAGTTAGACCTTCATCTAAACTAAAAACCTGTTTACATTTGCCTAAATTAAAAAATGAGTAAAAATTCAATCTCTTAACTCAAAAAACTAGTTACAATTCCATTTCCTAACTTAAAAATCCAGCTACACTTCCATCAAAATAAAAAACCCAGTTACCACTCCTTAATCAAAAAACTGTTTGTCTAACGATGGCCACCAAGCCTTATCTTTCTCCCTAAATTTTAGAACCCCATAAAACCTCAAGTCCCATAAATAGTAAATCATTCTTAAACACATCTCCAAAAGCAATCTTCCATTTTACAGCTTTTCACGATTATTATCCGTAATAATTTCGTTCGAACGTCGAAATAGAAAAAGCAGAGTACAAAAATGTCTTTGTTTGACGGCGAACGGGGAGAAGCAGTCGCGTTCAGCTCTCAAACAAAGCTCAACTGTTCTCGATATATAGCACCGTTGAAGAATCATGGTTAACGATTATACGCGTCTAATTGAATGTGCAGTTGACACTTTGAGAGAAATCGATACGTTCTGACAGCTTCACGATTCATCTCGATGTCCTTCGTGCCTTTCGTGGACGCGTATCTGATCCTTGGTCGAGCGATCGATTTTCCACCCGTACCTTGATGGCCTCAACATGTTTTCACTCTTCTTACACATCATTTTACAATTTTAAATCACGTATCTATCGGATGTATCAATTATAGCTTGGATATTTTTGATTATCTGAACGTTTCAAGGTTTCTATTTTTGTGCAAGTGTTCTTTATGTCTTGCTGTTTTAGACTTAAAAATGGGAATGTGTCATGAAGTATTAAGCTTTTGTATTGTACAGTTGTATCAATTATAGCTTGGATATTTTTGATTATCTGAACGTTTCAAGGTTTCTATTTTTGTGACTGTTTTTTATGTTTTGCTGCTTCAGAGTTTAAAGATGTGTTATGAAGTGTTTCGAGCTTTTGTGTTGTATAGTTGTATATGACCGTTGATTATGATATGTTTTTGGAAATCTTTGCAATGGAAATAAGAATGTTTATGTAAATTAATTGTAAGTTTACTGGAGGTGGGATTAATTAAAATATCTGAAAGTACCAATGTTATTTATTAAATAATTTCAAAGTATGTCTACTGTCAATGTTATTAACTGAGAAGTTTCAAAAAACTTTTAGTGTCAAGGTTATTAATTAACAAATCTTGGAGTACTCTTATTGTCAAGGTTACTGATAAAAACATCTGAAAATACCTTTACTGTTAATATCTGAAAATATTTTTATTTTCAATGTTATTAATTAAAAAGTCTTAAAGTAAAGTCACTGTCAATGTTAATAATTACAAAATCTCAAAACTAAAATTATAAAATTACAAATTATTAGAGTTCCAAAATTACAAACTTCGAACTTTAATTTCTACTCTTAAAACTCCAGAATCATAAATTTACAAGTTACTAGAGAGTTCAAAAATTCCAGACTTCTAAATTTCAAGTCTAAAACTTTCATAACTCCACAATTATAAAACACCAAATTATTAGAGTTCCAAAATTCCAGCCCTACATTGTTAAAATACCAAAATTTCAAGTTGTCAGGTTCTAAAATTAAAAATCCTCAGAAATGAAATTTGAAAAATTCCTAAGTCACCAAATACCAAAATCTCAATATGCCAAGTTCCAAAATTAGGAAATCTACAGAATTGAAATTTAAAAAATTCCAAATTTCCCAAATTCGAAATTCCTTAAATTCCAAATTCTCCAAATTCCAAATTCCCCAAATTCCAAATTCCCAATTCCCCAAATTCCGCAAATTCTAAATTCCCCAAATTCCGCAAATTCTAAATTCCCCAAATACCAAATTCCAAATTCCAAATTCCCCAAATTCCAAATTTCTCAACTTCCAAATTCCCCAAATTCCCCAAATTCCCCAAATTCTAAATTCCTCAAATTCCAAATTCCCCAAATTCCCCAATTTGCAAATTCCTCAAATTCCATAGTTCCCAAAATGCCAAAATCCCAAACTAAAAAACAAACAAAACGCTTCATAACCTCAAATATGAAAATCCGTAAATAATTGATACAGATAAATATTTTATATTAATTAATACAGATAATTATTCGATTAATTTTCCAATTTGCAAATGGAAAACGATTAGAACGTGTTCATCGTAAATTGCATACAAGCCAGCGAATCACGGCTGAGCTGTTGCTTAATGATTTCGTTAAATCGATTAGCTTGCATCGATTAAACATTCATCTGATCGTGTGTGTACGTAGGAATGCGTGTATGCATCATGGACCCGCACGTCGAGATTGCGGTATTGATAAACACTAGTGTCCGTTGATCGTAACCGTGAAATGCAAACCATTTCATGCTTAAAATCGTTCATGCGAGCAGAGTTCAGCTGCATTGGAATATAAACGAAGAGAAAAAATAAATTCATAGCATTTTATCTTAGTTTATCGTAATGCTGCGATTAAGCGTGAGCTAAAGTCGGAGAATTAAATTTTATGGACTAAATGGATTAATAAATTTATCAATTTATATTGCTAGATAAAGGTGATTAAATTAATCGGTAAATTTCAGTCAATTAGTAAATGTAATGATTTATAATATTATTGTGTAATGATATGATGAAAAGGATACGAAACTTGAACGTTAAACGATCATTGTTTCATTTTTGTGCAATTAGTGTTTTATTATTTATGAAAATTTAATTATAATTTAGTTACAATTATGTTACTTATAGATTTATTATAAATTGTTTCAAAATAACAAACATGTATCATTTCTTTTTAAAAAGCTCCGGAAAATAATACATGAACGTCGATGCTGTTGAAACAAAATGGCGGAATCTGTAAAGAATGCCCCAGCATCGATTGATCAAAACAAATTTGAACGCAAGAATTTCAATTTTAATCGAACAATAAACTATATTGTTTTGCAGACGTTGTGGTAGGTCTACCATAGAATGCACTTTCATGCAATCCTAATGACAGCTTTATTACTCCCTGTAATTGGCATTATTATGCTCGCGAAGATTGCTGCTTTGTTGTTGGCCGTTTCGAGAATCTCGAATAGGAATGTTGTCTATTTTTTAATGATATTTGAGTGCGACTATTGTGATTCAAATAATTAGGGTACCATTAGTACCTCATTATATATCCGACACAGCAAACGTATCTTTAGAAACAATTTATGAGACATTCTAGGTTGCTGTATATGCTTATGTGCCATTTCCATAAATCATTCTTCATTGTTTTGCAATTGTTGTAATATAAAATATTTAGGTTTGTTAATTTCATTTGTTGGATTTATATATTTTGGGTAATTCTGGATATTATGAGTGGACATTAGATTAGTTCAATTTGGACGTTGCAATTTTTACGTAAATTGTATGGTTTGGTTATTATGTATTTAAGTACACTACTCAGTATTCAGTACTCATCACTCACCATTCACTATTCACTATTCACTATTCATTATTCACTCTTCATTCTTCGTTACTCACTACTCACTACTCACTAAACACAATTAGTTACTACACTACTCTCTACTTTCTACTTTCCACTCACTACTCTCCATTCACAAGTTACTACTCACTACTCATTAATTTACTATTCATTATTCTACTATTCACTATTACTATTATTATATCTACTATTCACTATTATTCTACTATTCTACTATTCACTATTCATTATTCTACTATTCATTACTCACTACTCACTACTCACAATTCATTACTACACTACTCTCTACTCTCTACTCTCTACTCTCTACTCTCTACTCTCTACTCCCCACTCACTACTATCCACTCCCTACTTACTACTCACTACTCAATACTTCTTACTTCCTTCTCATTCCTCATTACTAACTACATTCTACTCACTACTTACTACTCATGACTCATTTCTTCTTACTTCTTTCTTACTCCTCGTTACTAACTATTCACTACTTACTACTTATCACTCATTACTCATTACTTCTTACTTATTTCCCACTACACATTGTACACTACTTACTACTTATTATTCATCATTCGTTACTCAGTACTTCTTACTCATTCCTCACTGCTCATCTCTTACTATTCACTACTTACTACTCATCATTCACTACTCAGTACTTCTTATTTATTCCTCACTGTTCATTACTTATTATTCACTTTTTACTACTCATCACTTATTACTCAACACTGAGTACTCCGTATTTACTGAATGTTATTTACTACTCACTGTGTAATGTTTTATTTCATACATCAAGTATAATGAACATCAAGTACTATTAGCTTGCTAATGTTCAATAAATTAATGAATAAATTTCATTTTTTAAAAATAATGAATAATTTTTACTATTTACTATTCATAGCTGCAATGAATAGTAAATACTGAATATTTCCTTCTCCGTTAACTACTCACTACTCGTTGCATCCACTTGTAAGAAAAGCTGACTTCTGCAACTCAGTTCTGACTGTATGTCAGTG